ATTTCCCAAACCATTTCCATCGTAAATTTCAAAACGTTAGTGAACCCATCCCATGGCAACTCTATGGTAGCACAAGAGGAGGATTGGCCACTGTCCCTGACCCATGGCAACTCCATGGCGTCATTTAGGGCCCAGGTAATTCAACTACACTAGGACGATCTCTCTAGTCCCCTCTAGGCCTCACTAACGCCGCGGTCCCTTGGCAACTCCTAGGCGGCCGGATTTTTCATAAAAACCTTTTCAAAACCTTTCCCAAAAGCCTATTTATTTCTTTCAAAACAACATTCCCCGTTTCTTCCCAATGAAGTGCATGTATGTTTCATATTTTCATGCCATGCCAATATTTATCAACACACATGTAATTTCAAACTCATACCGTTTTACATGCTTTACAAGAATTTCAAATAAATTTTCACATTACTTACATTCAATAATAAGCTAATAGGATTAAGCATGTAAGGCATGAATTCTATATCATTCAAGCATGCTATTACACATAATGTCAATTAAAACACATAGTCATGTAATTCATTTAGAACAATTTTATCATTTACAAGAAGATCAACACAAAATAGCATGCTAAGTAGCAAAATCAAGAAGGAAATTCACTAAAGTGCAAGAAATTGTACATTAAGAACCCCTACCTCAAAGGAGGAGAAAACCCCCAATTCTTAAGCCCTAGATTCGAAAATTCAAGGAGGCACAAAAGCTGAAATTACTTATATCTATGTGAAGATCTCACTGCGCTCTTCGTTTTGCCGCAAACGACATCTAAAATTTTCAAGAGATGAGGAAGTAATCAAGAGTTGAAGTTGTAACAGAAAAAGAAAAAAAAAAAAAACAAAGCAGCGAGAGAGAGAACTAGCCGAGAGAGAAAGTTGATTGCATAAAAAAAATGGGTCTGCAATCCCATTAACCACATAAGGCATTAAAGTAAGGTGGGTCCCATAGCAAAAATAAAAAATTTCTTTAATTAACATTATATATATATATATATATATATATATATATATATATATAATAAAAGCCATAAACATTACAGTGTATAAGTAGGTGAGCATGTAGCGCAACCCAACAATTTGAGTTTTTGAGTAAATAGACAAACGCCCACCCGTTACAGTAGTCTAATAGATGTTTTATATAATGGGATAATATCACTTACCTCCCTCGAGATTAGGCCTAATTACAGACAGTGCCCTTTGGTTTCAAAAATTACAATCACCTCCCTCCAATGCGACAGACGTTAAGTTCTGTTAAAAATGCATGTGAAACTACTATTATACCCTATATTATTATATTAATACAACAACTTATCAAATTATATTGCCAAATGACACTTTTACCCACCTTTATTCTTTTAACTCACTCATTTTTTCTTCTTCTTCATCTGTCTCCAGCTAATTACTCCACTGTACTTCCCAACCTTATATATATATATATATCTTCATTTTCTTGCATTTTCTAGACAACTAAATAGGGAGTTGAAAATGTTCAGCGCACAAGATAGAATATGTTTATGTAGATTATCATATTAATAAAACTGCAAGTGAATATATATATATATACAAAGTAAAAATAGTATAATACAAGATAGAATATATGATATTTACACATATATGCTGTTTTATGTCTGTATTTTCTCTCGGTTTAAGGTCGACGATCTCGCTAACCAGCCAACAAGAATCATTGGCGACATGATTCAAGCCCTGACATGGCTAGTCAATTTCTTCAGAATCAAAGTATTGGAAATAATTCAAGCCCGAACCCATCTAAACCTTAATCTCCTTCATCACCTCGTTTTCTTCCCCAACAGCTCCTCACGAATTCGCGGCCACCTATTCCGCCACCATCATTATCTTCTTGCCCAAACCCTCGAGCCCAAATCCACCATCTCCGCCTTCTTTAACATTGCCACCTCTGTCTTCTTCCACTCCGATGGCCGCCACGTAGCCACCGAATCCCTCTATGGTCTCGTCTAGGTATTCAACATCAAAACCCGCCCCCCTCTTCGTCAAATCCGATACCATTCTCACCCTGTCCATATTTTCCACTACCCCTGCCTCAATAATCTCCACCTCTTCTCCGGTGGCGATGACTCTGTCGTCAAGTATGGAATGTCATGTCCCAAACCCAGATCAGTGAACGTCCAGTGCACAAAGAACTTTTGCAACTCCTTACTCTAACAACCAATTAACCCTGTTTCTCCAACTAGATCTAATCTGAATACGCGATTTGCAGAGGATTAATGGTCGATGCCGATCCATATAATCCATGAAGAAAAAGGGAGGTAAGATATGATGATGAGTTATTTGACCCAGTGAAGAAGTTAGGAAATTAGGGTTTCAATTGAAGGGGTAAAAGAGGTGGTGGAGACGTTTCTAATTGTGTTGGATAGTGGTAGTGGTGCCCCTGATGTTTGTAAGATGATAATGGTGGTGGTGAAGGTGGTTGCTGCCACTGGTGGTTGGCTGTGATGCTGTAATAGAGAAGCATAAATAATATATAAGGTAAAGTGCAAATACTGATCTTTCAGTCAATTTCACAAAACCCCCCTGAACTAATAATTACCCCCTAAACTATCAAAAAAATTTCACTTTAAGGACAAAATCAAATATCAGGGTCACCGGAGGTCATCCAAAATGTTATATTACTAGACTACCCTTTAGTGGAACGCTGCTGTTTAATTGTTTTAGCACCTGATGTTGTTGACGTGGCAAATGCAATTTGAACATCCAATACTATTAGGACAACACATCACCTTATCACCAATAACCCTTAACACAACTGCCAAACATGTCCTTAGAGTACTTATTTTAGCGCCAAACACGGTCTCTCTACAGAACTCTCTCTCTCTCTCTTTCTCTACGCTCTGTCTCTTTCTTTACGCTCTGTGTTGCGTTTTCCTTCTCTGTTGCCGACGATATCGACTACCAATTGCAACCTTCGGCAGCCGACTTCGCCGACGAGCTGGTTCTTCAATAAATTTCAACGGGGTTATTGTGATTGCGTCATAGATTCTTAAAGCTTCTCGCCGGCGGTCATGAAGTTTGATGTTGGGCTCTCACCCGTTTTAATGGAAGTCATTATGCTCTTGGTAGCCTAAAATTGTTGGGTATTTATTTTTATTTATTTTTCTAAATTTTTGTTTAGCGTTTGTTTCTTTCTTTCCGTGGCTTGGCCCAAAAATTTGTGTTCGGCAATATCCACCATCGTCGGCGCCTCCCCACACCACCACTCAACAATCATCTTAATACTTTATCTCCCTCGTCTCTGCATCAATTTAATTTTTTTTTAATAGATCCACCTGTCATCAATATTTTCCTCCTTCTTAAAAACCCATTGCACAAGGGAACTTTCCATTGCAACCCTCAATATATATATATATATATATATATATATATATATATAATTGAACAGAGGCCTGTTAGATGTTAGATCAAGGATCTTGTATACCATATTGATTTGTCCGATCCAATAAATTGAGGGTAAGGAATAGCCAATTCAACACGTACTTGGTTTTTTGGAAAACAAAGAGAACCCACAAATGTTAAAAGGGTTCTTATAGTGTTAATGGTGGAGGAAGAATAATTCATATTGGGGTTTGAACTAGAACATGCAGTTGGAGTTATTTAGTTTTGAGTGGATTGCAGAGTGTGACCATGGTAAGACTTCCACAGAGAGGTGATGATTTATGAACGAAAATTAGGGTTAACAAATGGATAATTTGTGCTTTTATTCATTAATTATCGAAAACAGTAATAAGGGTAGCACTGTCATTTTGAAAATATAGCCTAGGTCACATGATAATTGGATGACGGAACAGTGTAGCCTGGCCTTTTTTTGCAAAAAAATTAGATAGTTTTAAGGGATTTATTTATTTTAAAAATATAAGTTTAGGGGGGTTTCTTGGGAGAGAGAGTAAAGATAAGGGGGGTTATTTGCACTTTACCTTAATATATATATATATATATATATATATATATATATATATTGTCTTTTTTTTTTCCTCCTTAGTTGAGACTCATACACACTTATCTCTTCTGAGACTTGAACCCCTGACCTTCCTTTGAGAAATAAGAGACTGATACTAGTAGGCCACTGGCCATTTTTTATCTTTATGTTGAGGGCAAATAGATAATTTTAAATCAAAGGCTGAGGGTAAAAATGTATTTGCCTTGTTTATAAGGACAAATGTGGTAATTCATGCAGAAAAGAACTGACATTAGCAAAAGATGTCCTTGACTACTAACGACAAGGGCAAACTATTATGACGGAGCTAATTTCGAGGGAGATTGTCGTAATTTTTATAATGTTAAAGGTACTGTTTGTAATTAAACCTAACCTCAAAGGAGGTAAGTGTTATTATCCTTTTATATAACTTCCCTTTTATTCCTGAAGGTTAGTGAAATAAGAGTTGTATTTAAATTCAAGTCACATATGGTATGGACGAAAAGGAGGGCAAATGTGAGAAAACAACAAATTTTGACTAAAAGAGAATTATATGTAATTTTTGTTCGCTTGATCATCATTACATAAATACACAATAAAGGCTATTATTTGTGTAATGATGAAAATTTAATCTCATAAATGTGTGAAAATGGACTTGGAAAATAAGAAATGCATTATTTATTTTTATGTATGAATAATGCAATTCAAAAGTATTTTCTAAGTAGAGGTGTATTGTTGGAGGAGTTTTTATCCCTCTTCCATCCAATGCATTAAAGGAGAAAAAGAGTAATATATCACCAGAGCCTTTCATAATGAGCTATCCCTATTTAAACAATGAATTAATTTTTTTTTTTTAAACACTCATTTGTCTTTTCCCAAATATAAATGATTTCATTTCGGAAATTAAAGGCTCTCATAATTGCATTAATTTAATTGGCCAAAATAAACTAGTGGGCCGGCTAGCATTGGAAATTTGGGCTACTTCATGGACATGAACCGATCCAAGCCCTACATTTCATATAAGGTAATGCGCTCTCTCTCTCTTAACTTTCCTCTCGGAATAATTTTTTTCTCCAAAAAAAAATTGAAAACTCAGTATAAGCAAAAAACGGAAAAAAAGCTCTCCAAAACCCTTTTGCTCAATAGCAATGGTCTCGGACACAAACTTCACTTCACAGACCCCTACATACACCCCCTAAAACCAACCACAGCTTTATGCCCTTTTCTGTTCCCTGTCTGTAGAATCTCTGTGCCCTCTATGGAAGCACTCTCAAGCACCGTCTTCGCCTCTAAGTTCGCAGAGACACACTCGGTTCTTCACTTGATCAGAACTCCAAACAAGCGTAGTGGGTCTCTGAAATTCAACGAGATTGTTCCCATTACGACGTCGCGGGCTTACGTGCCTCGAATTCTCGCGCTTGCTCGAGAAGTATCGGACGAAGGCGAAGAAGAGACACGGATTGCGAATGCGTTTGGTTTAGTTTCCGGAGAGACTGTGTCTTTGTCTCAGGTAACTTTAATTTCAACGGGTTTGGTTTAAATTTGTTTTTGTGTTTTTCAGTGTGATCTTATACTCTGTTCGGATACTGGGATCATGTAGAAAAAAGAAACAAGAATAAAAAATTTTAATATCGAATTTTAATTTTTAAATCAAATAAGCCCAATAGTAGCACGAACTTGTTGGTGCAATTATGCAATGTTCATGCCAACTATGCTAATTCATATATACACTTTACACTTCAAATTGCTCCCCCCACCCCCCAAAAAAGTCCCCCTTTTTGGTCTAATCATTATTATCATTTTCATTTTTATTTTTTTAAAATTCAAGTTTGCCATCCCAATGTGAAACCAATAAAGTGATTATCTTTCTTTGCAAATTTTCGTTTTTTTTTTTTAATTATTTTTTTTATGTCCTTTTTCATACAGACTACTTAACATTATCTATATTTTTAATTAAATAATGCAACTACATATAATTATTCCGTGTTTAGATTATGGGGATTTGCCGTGTTGAGTTCATTGTGCCATGTTGATGCATGGTGTGACACTATGTATGTCTACAAATGGTATTCTTGATGTGCCTATAGTTTCTGCTACATGAGAACTGAAAATTTCTCTTTCGATGTTGTAGTCCGCAAATAAATATCTAAAAAGGCTGTTTTGGCTTTGTTATGATGGCCTTTCTCATATTCTGAAGGGTAATTCAGATCACGATCAAAGTAATGAAAAGAATGATAATAAGGTATCAGATATTATGACACCTCTTACGGTTTCATACGGAACTGGGGGAAGCTCAAGGGCAGGGCTTTTCAGAACTCCGATATCTGGGGGAGTGCAGAGTGCAACCTCAGCTCACGGGTTACCTAGACCAGCCTTGGCAGTTCGCAATCTGATGGAACAGGTTAACATTTTTATTTATAGTCACTAACTTTCCAGCTTGATTATGTTTATATTTTCCTCCATAATTATGATTCATTTGTTGTTTTCCCCCAAAATTTGTAATTATAGGCCAGATTTGCACACCTGTGCACTGTAATGTCCCGGATGCATCACAGACGAGAAGGATACCCATTCGGTTCATTGGTAGATTTTGCACCTGATTTGATGGGACGTAAGTCACTGATTTTTTAAGTATTTGATAGGCTGTATATTGCTACTTCAAGTTCAGAAAGTGCTTATGCTATACCTGGCCTTGTGTCGCACCGAAGAACTGGGTTCCTTTTTCTTGGGTGTTCTGAAACTTTAGAATGTTTGCATGACCAGGACAACAATAACAGTAACAATGGTTATAATAATTTTTTGGTTGTGTAAGGTGTTCAGATTATGTTGGTCTATAAATAACATTTGTCCAAAGATGGTGTTCTATCAAGTGCAAGTTAAAGGATGTCCTCCTCACTTCTAAATGCATTCTTAGTAAAGTGTAAATGATTTCTTATAAGTTTTATCTAGCTTTGAAAATGTTGCAGATGCAAAGAGAATAGCTTTAATTTGGATTTGTTAGGTTTGGATTTTTAGTTTTGCTATTTTGTTTGGTAAAAGTTAAAGTGGTTTTATTAATCAAGAAACACATTTTACAAGGCTGTAATGGGAGGCACCACCCATTTGACAAAGAATTGAATACAATAGAAACCTAACATAAGAGGCCAACAATGGATGGAAAGCAACCAAAGATGCCCAACGAGGAACCGAACACAAAAAACCTTTAAGAGAAACACAAAAGAAAGGAACAAACCAACACGCCAGTCGCCTAGAGGTATTAGGCCCCTACTTCCCAAAGGAAGGTCAGGGGTTCGAGCCTCAGTGGAGGCACAGTGTTGTTAAAGGCGCGCCTAGGCTTGAGGCGCAGGTCTAGTGCCTGTTGTCATCCCAAGCTCACTCATGTTTACTAGATGCGTGCCTCGGTTGCGCCTCGTCCTGTTAGCGCGCCTCACTAATTTTTTTTATAAAAAACTATGATTATTCTTTTTCTTAAGTCAAAAAGGGTACTTTTGGCAACTTAATAAACAAATAAGAAAGCCCAAGCGTAAGAGAGAAGAAACTTTTGTTCAAAAGAATAAACATATAAGAAAGCGTAAGAGTAAAAGTGTCAACCGAACAGAGAAAGAGTGATACCGTGAGACGAACGACGAAGCCCTAGTAATAGAGATGAACGACGAAGCCCTAGTAGCAGAGATGAACGACGAAGCCTCTTCTCTATCTTCTCCTCTACTTCTCTTTCCTCTCTTCTCCTGTACTCCTCTCTTCTTATCTTTGTTTACATCTCTCTCTTCGTCTAGTTCTCTTCTCTCTCTCTCTCTCTCTCTTTTTTTTTTTTTTTCTTTCTTTTGGGGGGGGCTCTGTTTTTTCTCCTTTTTTTCTTTAACACTTCTCTCTCTTCTCGTCTACTTCTCTTTCTTCATCTACTTCTTTTGTCTCCGCGTCTTTTTTTTTTGCTATGTTTTTTCTTTTCTTGTCAACAGTTGTTTTTTTTTTTTTTTTAATTAACAGATTTTTTTTTTTTTGTGCTCTGTTTTGCCATTAAAAAAATCTTTTCTTGTTAACAGTTGTTTTTTTTTTTTTTTGGGTTAACAGATTTTTTTTTTTTTTGTGCTCTGTTTTGCCATTAAAAAAAACAAATTCTGCTTTGCCTTTCAAGAAAACAAAAATTTGTGATATGTTTTATAGTTGTCGGATGCTTGTTTAGTTGATGGATTTACTTTTTTATATTTGATATTAATTTTTAGAATATTGATAGGACTTATGAGATATGAATGTTTTTATAGTAGTTTAAATTTTCAATTGCGCGCCTCACTCAGGTGCGCGCCTTTTCGTGCATTTCGTGCCTAGGCTCCAAAGGACCTCTAGCGCCTTGGTGCGCCTTGGGCTTTTAATAACACTGCTTTCGAATAACTAACTAGCCAATTAGGGTTCATAATCATGCATTCTCATTTTAGGGCATAAAGCATATTTGATTCATGAAAAAAATGTTCTGTATGCATGAAGTTGTTTTTGGAATAAATATATTTAAACAAGAAATTGCAACAAAAACAGTAAGTCTCGATCGATGGGTTAAATCGATTGAAAATTTTCAGAAAAATTATATTGAAGTCTGGAATAGCTCGATCAAAGCATCGACTGATTGAGACATGTCTATTCGCTGTTGATTGACTGAACTATGCAGGAACAGTATATGGAAACTTCTCTAACTGAAAACCATAGAAGTTTTATGTTCCCTTTTCTGATTATAGTTTATAACTAAGAAACCCTAATTCCTTGGCGCTTAAAGTACTATATAAAGACCTTAAGCTTTCATGAACACACAAGAGAATATATAGAGAGATCTCCACGCATATTATTGAGCGGTTATATAGAGAAAGGTCATATATTTTCATAGAGCTTACTTTTGTTTTCATTATCTAGCATATTGCGTTAGATGGTGAGTTATTAATTAGAGAGTTGATCATCATCTTGTGGAGCTTAAATCGTCATCAACACCTAAGTATTTGTGCCCAACACACACTACCTGGATAACTAGTGGCTGAGACTAAATCAACTGGTGGAGAAGCAGATTTGTGAGGAGCAAAGTTTGTTAACGAGCAGACAGATGACCTTGAAACTCTCGGGAGGAAGTTTAGCGTCATTTGTGTCAATAGGTAACTAGAGGTTTCAGGGTTTGGGAACTGTTAATCTAGTTGTAATATCTCTCATTGTGGATTCAGGTAGCCTAGACTAGTCCCGTGGTTTCTCCCCATTGGGTTCCATGTAAATATTGTGGTTGCATGATTTGTTTATTGCCCCTTTCTATATTTAGCTGATTCATTTTGCTGCTTATAAATATAATTTAGATTTCAATTATTGTTAATCCATTCACCAATCTAACTAATATAGGGCATAGTGCACTCTGACGTATCAAAGCCTCGGGGTTTGATCCTGCACTTATAAGGATTGTTGTTAGTTAACGTTGCCTTAGGTTTTATAATTCTTTTCTGGAAATTACTTGAGCAGTTGGTTATCTATATATCTATGGCATACCACTTGCAAGTCAATGGCAGACTAGTTATCGTAGAAAGGTCACCCCCCTCTAACATGTTTGTCATGTCTGTATTTGCAGATCCAATATTTTCATTTTCACCATTGGCAATACATACGCGTAATTTGTTAGCTGATCCAAGATGCACATTGGTTGTGCAGGTTAGTGCTTTTTCTTTTGTATGCCTTTACCACATTTGAACTATTGGTAGTTCTCTGCTTGTGGATTTTATTAATATTAGAGCTTTACAGATACCTGGATGGAGTAGCTTATCAAATGCAAGGGTAACAATATTTGGCGACGTCTTCCCCCTTCCAGAAGACCAGCAGGTAGATGCCTTGACACTATGGATAAAATTTACATATATGATTGAAATTAGTTAGAAATTCTTGTTAATTGTTCTCTGGCCATACACATGGCTGTGAATCATATTGTGGTTCTGCGAGATGCATTTAAATTATTTATAACTGAAAGGATCTCCTCTTAAAGTGGCCTTACTACAAATAACATATTATAGATTATAAGAGATAATTAAAATTTTCAATTCCGCGACTTTCCTCATTTTTTCTACAAAACGATGAAGGTATCCAATTTGCTATCAGATAATCTCTCTCTCTCTCTCTATATGTGTGTGTGTGTGTGTGTGTGTGTGTGTGTTTGTAATATATATGTGTGTGTATATATATATACACATACATATCTTGGTTTCGTTGGTCATGGTTATCCTTTGGTATCGGGGTTTATGGAACACTTTCATCCTTTCAGTGAACATGATACATATAGTATACGTGGAGAAAACAAGGGCTGTTAACTAGTTATTTATTTATATTGACACATTGAATATCTTCACTGATTATTGTTGTTGAATGCTTTTGTTATCGTTATTATGTCTGATTATTGCCAGGAATGGGCTCATAAACAGTACATAGCAAAACATCAACAAGGGCCCTCTCAACAGTGGGGGAACTTCTACTACTTTAGGATGCAGAATATAAGGTTTGTTTTTAGTTTTACTGTTTAAATTAATGAATAATCTCGCAATAGATATAATTTATCATGCTGGAAAATTTGTTTACTTTGTATAACGGTTGTATTATTGCTTGAGGAATTGTTGTATTCACTGAGCCTGTAAGTTCTGATTTTTGTAACCCTACCCTTGTTCGTATTTGTTTACAAAAGTTGCCTGATGGGGATTTGCTAGACCCTTGTTAGCAAATTCCCTGAATATAGTTGTGCATTAAAAATTCTCTCTTGCAATTACACTGTGCATTTAAGTTCTCTTTTGGGTTGCCACTGATTTGCATAATAAATAGGAAGTCATTTTCTCACCCTTTACATCAAAATTAATGTAAGAATAGATACGAGTCAAACCACTTCCCCCCCCCCCCCCCCCCCCCCCCCCCGCCGGCGGTTATATAGGTAAATTACTTGTCCATATTTGGTAAAAACACCATCCGGCTTCGGAAGTTGATCATTCGTTTATCTATTTTCATACTCTGAGTAATGTTTTAGCCTATCTGTCACATGATTAACGATCTTGGATTGATGGGCTTAATCCCAATCAAAGATGTCTCCATAATTCAGTGAATTTTTTCTTGCTTTCTTTCTTTTCTGATAACTAAAGTAATTCTTTATATAAAACCGGGTAAGTATGCGCGCAAAAGGTATACAAATCTCCCAAAAACTCTACAATAGAATCTATGGACATATGAATTGCCTCGAGAGAGGGGGGGGGGGGGGGGAAAGAAAAAAGAATGTGAAACAAAAACTTAAAGTTATGTAGGGTATAACTCCATCCCTTGAAATATCTAACATTACACTCCTTCCACAGGGTCCACAATGGCCCACATACAACATAAAGGAGTTATGATCAATTCATCTCTAGTGTGGCAACCTTGTTGGTGGGTACGAGGCATTGGCTACGGTTGCACGATCCCACATCGCTTGGGTGTGGAAAGGGAAGTGTTATATATGTAGGTGGTGCTTTCTCCAAATGGTATGAGGTTTTTTTAAGTAAAATCCAAGAGCAAAACCGTGCGGGTTCGGGCCCAAAGCGGATAATATCACACCTTGTGCCGAAAGTGTGCCGACGGGGGCGTCGGGCCTCTTAGGGGTGGATTGTGGTGACCTTAGGCGTGGGTGGGTGCGAGGCACTAGCAGACTACAGGTGCACGACCCCACTTCGTCTGGGTGTGGAAAGGGGAAGTGCTATATATGTAGGTGGTGTTATCTCCAAATGGTATATGGCCTTTTGGGGTAAAACCTAGGAACAGAACCGTACTGGCTTGGCCCCAAAGCAGACAATATCATACTATGTGGTCGATTGGGTCGTTACAAATGGTATCAGAGCCTGATTTATCCGGAAGTGTGGCCAACGAGGATGTTGGACCCTTTTGGGGGGGGGGGGGGGGGTGATTGTGGTGGCCTTATGGGTAAGTGTGCGTGGACGGGTGCACAATCCCGCATTACCAGGGTGTGGAAAGGGGAAGTGCTATATATGTAGATGGTGCTATCTCCAAATGGCATGAGGCTTTTAGGGTAAAACCTAAGAGTAAAACCGCGTGGGCTTGGACTCCAAGCGGACAATTTCATACCATGTGGTGGAGTGGGTCGTTACAGTTAAATTTATATGCATTTGTACAAATTTTATGGAAGTTAACTAATTTTGCTTGAAGAAGTTTTTTCTCCAGCCCTTGCAAGTTGGTATATGGAAGAAGCTTTTCTCATCAGCTCTGTGATGAATTTCACTAAATTTGACTCATGCTTGTTCATGAGACCTATATAACGTGCAAATTGTTTGTGAATATCTCAAAATTGGCAAATGACGATACAATTTTTACAAAATATCTCTAATAACAGCAGATGTTCCTAATATTTTAATGTGCATTGGTTTTCTGTCTAAATATTTGTTCTCTCAAAAAAAAATTAGTGGTATTTTTTTTTTTATAAAAAGGAAATTTATAAAATTGCCTCGCACTATATACCTGATAAATCTTTCTTTTTTTGAGTTGAATAAGCAGTGGATCTACAGGAAGTGTGTTTCTACCTATGTTACATGGACTCGGGTACTTGTGTTGGGTGCGGGTATGTATCCACACGTCAAATGTGTCAAATCCCCAGATAGGAGGACGCATGGGCATTGCCAAATATTTATATTATTATTTTACTATAGAAATAAAATTGAATAATTTCTAGAGTAACATAATGTTTTTATGTAAGGATAAGGTCTTTATGTAACATAGTGTTTAATATAGGCATTTAACTCATTTTGAAACAGTAGTATCATAAAATTGAATCATTGGATATACTTTTTAGCCTTTTAGGTGCATGTTCAGCCAAAATGGTTGGAATGTCTGAGTATTGTGTGTCTGACTTCACCACCTACTTTTGAAGATTCCATGTAACATAGGTTTCTTCAGACTGATGACGTTGTTGGTTTGATTCATGATTTTTACTCTGTTGGCAATTCTATAGCGTATGTGCATTTTAGGAGATTGATCAGTAAGCCATATTGCACCATGAGGAACTTATTTTTGTTTATTTGCTACCACCAGCGATATATATTTCATTGGAGGCTTTGGTACGGTTGCTTGGGTTGACGTCAAAGAATATGAGACCCTTCAACCTGATAGGATTGCAGTTGATGGAGGTGAGCAAAATCTAAAGGTGAGTACTTTAAATTCTTCTAGTTTTGTTTCAAGGAAACAATTAGATAACAATTGGATCATGAAATTGAGTCAGAAACCAGGAGTTGTAATTGAAGTTAGGCTCCTACTTCCAAATCTGTCGTTTGGTAGGATGCAAGATGTGATAATTGTAATGCTAGGCGCAATTACATGGAATTCAGAATGGACATGAGTTGGTCAATTCGAATGTTAATGGGTCTAAAGTTGCGATTCCAAGCACAGGAATTATGAGAAGTTGGTAGGTGCCACTGAGAGATCCAGCTCGGTGCTCTGTTTCTTCTGCTGGTTTCCATCTCAAATGAAATAACAATGAAGAGAATGCTTGGCACACAAATATCTCTACATCAATCCAGACCTTTTGTTCACGTTCACTCTAATATCTGTCTATTTATTTATTTTTTGTTATTCTTTAGATCCATAGGTATTAGGTTCTTTCTTGATCTTCAATTTGTCTCTATAGGGCTTTTCAGTTCTTCATTTTCCCCCCATTTTTAATGCCTTGCTGAACAATTTTCATGCATCGTTTTTTTCTGATATATCTACAATTTGAAGTGTTAAAGGCTCTTGACCAAAATAACAATGGAACTGGCATGCTCAAAGAGAAGCTATAGATGCTCCTCCTCTCTTCCTTTTTGCTTCTGCTATGCATATGGGGGATCAGAATTGTATTCTTTATCTCCCTTTCTCTGCACCTTCTAGAAAATAGAATTCTTCCTCGAGTTCCAATTCTTAACATTTGGGATTGAAATTGCTATGAAGTCAACTCAATTCCGCATGCCAATCAGACTCGTATCTTAAACTGGTTTTGGCAGACACAACGCCGTCCCTCCCTCTCTCTATAAATGCATATTTTCAGTCGTCTTATTGCCAGATATATTTGCGTGCTTCTCAAATTTTATTTTATTTTTACTTTTCCTCCTCCTGGATAAATTGTTCCTCAGAGTTGTTATAATTTTAGAGAGTGGGTTGGACATGTCACCCAATTTTTTCTGGAGCAACACATAGGGGTTGACTATACTTTTCTCTTCTGCTCCTTTGGGATTGAATTTAAACTTTTGTATAGGAGCTCAATGCAATCTTCTCAAAGCGGCTAAAAGAGCTTATGTCCATGGAAATTGAGGTGGATGATGCTGCTCTCATTTCCATAGATAGCAAGGGAACTGATATTCGGGTCCGCCAAGGTGCTCAGGTATTCCCCAGCGCCCCCCCCCCCCCCCCCCCCTCCAAACATCCTATGTTAGGTTCATCTTTTCGCATGTTTCTCTATGTGAATGTTTTTTCAACCTCTTTTTTTGCAGTTCAACATACAGAGGTTATCATTTGAAGAAGGGCAAGCGGTCGAAACCTTGGAGGAAGCCAAGGCAGCACTTTGGAAACTAGTAAACAGAGGTAAAGTTTACAATTTGCAGAAATGAAAGACCAATTTCGCGTAACAGATATTGTGATATTTATTTTGAGTGGCTACAGGATTAGGTGAGACGATGCTTAAATTGAGTTTGTAACTTATACCCATTTTTAAAATTGTAATATTGTAACTTTATGGGTCTCTCAGTATAAATTCATGGGATGTGCTCGGCATTTTTGTCATCTAGAAATCCTAGTTGAGTTAGCTAGGGTGGGGCTTTGAGCATCATTTTAATCAAAATAATGTAAAGAACAACCATAACATACACCTGCTGTTGATGAAAAGCTACAGTAATTTCCAGGTTTTCCTTAAAATTTAGCAGCTGCTGCATGATTATACATCACTTATATTTGCATTGCTGTACAACATAGCTTTGCAAGAACATCGAGTTTTTTGCTCTCTATCAGTCATACAAAAGGTCGTGTGGTTTGTTAGGAATTTTTCTCCGTCTTCCATATTCTGTGACCGTGACTCTGAGGATTGAGGAAGGTCTCTCTCATTCTTATCAGACCTTACTGAAGTGCATCTGCATACTATTTGACTTGATATGCATCGTAACACAAGATTTATGTTAGAGATCTAGGATTAGTTTGGTTCAGTTTTATGAAAACATTTAACTCAAAAACACACATTGTTTTTCAGATAACTATAAAAGATTATTCTCTCTAAATATGTCGTCTGTTTGTTTTTAAAAAAATTAATTTTCAGAAAATTGTCAAACCAAATTTTGTTTTGTTTTGTTTTGGTACTGTTTTATAATTCAGTTCCCTGAAAACAGAAAGCTAAACCAAACATTTCTTTAGAGAATGGCATATGCATAAAGCTAGAATTGTGAGAAGTCATTCTATAAAAGGCATAAAATCTTAACATGTTAATTGTGCTATATTGGATATGTGTTGGTTTTTGGTGTCCTGGCAGAAGTAATTGTGTTTTGTCTCCAAGTTGACATTATTGGATTCTGAATCATGAAGATGACACAAACAGTGACGTGTTGGACTAATTCTCTTGCAAAACTCATCAATGTATGTATCTATATATTGTTAAGAAATAATAAAGTAGGTTTTAACTTTTGAGACAAAGTTGGGGGTATGATGGGTGGGTGTAATGATGTGTCTTTTCAGTGCTTTTCCTTAAGAAGACACGTGTTTAGATAATCGGTCTGGCTTGTGCCATGGACAACGGTATTTTCCACGTCTTAGTCTTACTCTTGTAGTTTTGTTATTTTGGTGTATAAACTACATGATTTGGATATGGTTTAAGTTTATTACGACTAGGACATTTGTCTAAGTGGTTATTACCTCTCATTTCAAATGGGTGACACGATTTGAACTAGAGGGGGCATTGATGTCGGTCCACTAAATACATGTTACAATTAAAAAATAGTTTAAAATTTTCATTCCATGATTTATTAGATATAATGCGAATAATAACCGTGCTGTTGATTAGTAAGGAATAAAATTATATTTATAAAAAAAATTGAGGAGTTATATTGTAAAAAAAAAAATATAATTACCTAACTCTACCTTGAACGCAACTTCAAAAGTTAAAATTTTTAACTTCAGGTAAATGCCACTAAACATCTCTAATCCAATGTTTTAATATCAACACACTTTTGCATTTCATTTACGAAATAAAGGCATACTACCTTCGTCCTAAATTAAATATCCTGTTTGGAGAACTATGTGTGATCCAATTTTTTAATATCAATGCACTTTTACATTTCATTTATGAAATAAAGACATACTATTTCCGTCATAAATTAGATGTTCTGTTTAAAAAATCGTGTGTGAGTCACGGTTTTTCAAGTAGGATATATATATTTTTTTTGATACAGAGAGTAATTCATTGGAATGTATGATATGAAGGGTCTGAAGTAAAAGATTAGTGACGTATTATAAATTTGATTGATAAGATTAGTGATACATATTTTCCATACAAGTCTTTTTCACGTTATTTTATCCTTTCTTTGCCTTCCGAGCCATGTTGTTTTTATAGTACCATTTGTGTGTATATATTTGTCAAACCGTTGGAATTCAAACCTTTCACAAACATATAATTTAACTGTCTACATCTTATCCAACTTTCGTTTTTTTGGGAATATGATTAGTCAAGTATTTGGAGCTCACTTGAAAAATTAATCCGTTACTTGTTAACATTTTCTTTCTTCTTGAGATGTAAATGTTTTCATTGTCTAAGTAGTTGAGTTGCTTTTCTTGAGCTCAATTTCGCATCTTTGCACTTCTAATAAAGGAAGGAGGAGTGCTAAATGTCACAAAAAAGTAAAAAAATAAAAAAAAATTATGGCAAATATGCATTTTTAACCCTTTTATTATTTTGTTTTTTTCATTTTTAGCCCGAACACAGCACAAATCTTACAAATTATAAGAGGAGGACAAAAAATAATTTACAAGAGGTGTGAAGAAAAAATAAGAAGGAACAAACTTCCTTTGTTAAGTAAAAGAGGAGAATAAAAAGTATGATTCTTCCTTCTTTACAAAATTTCATTCGCCCAAAAATGAACGGAAGAAAGAATGAAAGATACGTGGATTATTATAGAAGTTTTATATTAAATATTATCCTAAATTATACAAGTTTTAAATTACAGTACTTATCATTTATAAATTACAATTTTATAAAATATAATAGTAAAAATAATTAAAACTTTTTCTTTCCTTCTCTCTAATGAACATAAGAAATTATAAATTTGTTCTTTTCTATCTAACCGAACAAAAAGAAGTAAATACACAATATCTACCTTAAGAATGTCTCATACATCCTTTCTTCTCTCCCTTCTATCCACCCATTCAATTTTTTTCTTTCATACCGAAGCATTAGTTTTTCTAGGAGACATTTTTTTCTTTTCTTTTCTTTCTCCCATTAATTCTTCCAAAAATAAATAATCATTTTCTTACTTCTTTCCAAAAATAAAAATCCATGTCAATTATAATAAAATCACCAAATTTCTTTCTTGACCTAAAGAAAGTACCATGTCTAATTGATTTGTTTTGATAAATTATGTATAAGCATTAATTTGAATATTAAACTGAGTTAAAATATTCAACTTCATTTTGTTTTAAATTTATGTTAAGAGATCCGATTTTGTTGCCTTACTAAACTCAAACGATGAAATTATTAAATGAAAACCATCTAATATTTTATAAAAACAAAAATACAGTTGGCACAACTGTTGGTTCCATTTTTTTCCTATGAACTTGGCTTTAAAATCATTTTTCTATTTATAATTTGGATCTCAAAAACAACAAAAATGTGTACACCTATCTCAAATTCTAAATATTTTTCTACAATTTCAACTCTAAAATTTAACTACTATTTCAACTCTAACATTTTACTGCTATTTCAACTCTAACAAGATAGGTTTTAGTATTCTTTAATTGAAATTGGTGCTGAGGTGTAAGGCCGTCGACAGTATCCCTCGATTTGTAACTTAGGATGGTCCCTTCTTAGGAGAGTTCGTGGTACCAATAAAAAAAAAAACAAAAAAAAGATTGGTTTTAGTACTTCTATCAATGTACCAAAATTTACAATTCGTTTTACAGTTTTACTTCTATCAATGTCCCAAAATTTACAATTCCTTCCATTCATCGAAAAAAAACTGAAATGAACATATCAAATTAACCAAACAGCTCAATTCTTGAAGCTAGTATGAATCTTTTTACCCGGGAGGAACCAAAAAAAAAAAAAAAGAAAAAAAAAAAGGAAAAGTTTATCTGCCTTTTGCCCAGAAACAAACAGAAAATAGTGAAAAAAAAAAAAAAAAAAAAAAAGGGGTCCGACCCAAGAGCCAGAATTAACTTTTAACTTTTTTCCCCGGGATGAAAAAAATGAAAGAGTTTCTCTACAGTTTGCCAAGAAACAAACAGAAAATAAAGAGAGAGAGAGAAACAAACAAGAAATACAACTTTCTCGACCCTTTGCCAGGAAACAAACAGAAAATAAAGAGAGAAAAAATAAACGAACAAAAAATACTGAAAAAACAGAGGTCTGACCCAAGAACCAGAACCAGAAATTCCGACAATCGGAGAGAGCTTCCATGGCAGAGAGCAGTAGCAGCAGCCATAGTGGATCGTCACCAATAACCCACATGACCCAAGACCACCTCTTCTCAATCCTCCTCCTTTTACCCATAGATTCAATACTCTCTTTTTCCATGACTTGCAAGAAATTTAGGACTCTCTCATACTCTGACACTTTCTGGGAATCCATCTGCAGAAGAGATTGGGGGAACCCATCTGTTGACGCTCTCAAATCCTCTCCACATACCAAACAGCTACTTCAGTTTCCATGGAATAAGCTCTACCAGCAAGTCTATCAGCTGGACTCAGTCTCTTGCCATAGACTGTCTGATTCTGACGCTGAGGAGGTTTTCCCAAGGCCCAGAGCTTCTCATTCTCTCAATTTTGTGTCTGGGTGTCTGGTTTTGTTTGGTGGAGGTTGTGAGGGAGGTCAGTTTTCTCCATACCCATCATTGGTCTCTGTTGGATCTCTGCTTCTGATTTGTTGATTAACTGCTTTTTGGGATATAGATGACTGCTTTTTGAATGTATTTCTTTGATGGGTTTTCTTTCTGGGATCTATAATTCTGTTGGGCAAGTGTTTCTCTTACTAGGCTAGGTATGTATAAATTATATTACAAGTTAACAGATAACTGTTTAAGTTCAAAACAATAATTTGTATTAAATTTTGAGTTTGTAGTTTGTTTGGAAATTTTTATATGATAAAGGAAAAAGTTCCATCTATTTCTTTGGTTTTCTGGGTAATTAATGAAGTTGAATCAAGTGTAGACTAGGCATTTTCTCATGTAGTATGTGTAGTTTAGGCATTTCTTGATTCCTTCTTTATTTTAAGAATTCAAATTTCCTTGAACTTTTGGGTTGTGTTTTTGCATCCGGGGTTACCCTAATTTTGACATAGATGTAAGTTTAGAACATTGGAATGCTGATGCTAACTGACTTCAGTACACTCTTTATATGGTTATGAATGCACTTTATATCAATTGTCAAACTATGCCCTTATGTTTAAGCATGGCTTATAGGTGACTGGCGTATTGTATGTTTCTTTACCGGTCAATTGTGGTGCTTGCTTTTAATGCTCTCGGTTATCTATTGTGCAGTAGTTGGTTGTGTAATTTGTTTTCAGTACTTATTTGTGTTGCATGTTTCTTTAACTCTTCAATTCTGATGTCAGTGCTTATTTATCATTTTCTGTTCCTCACCCCTCCCCAACAACACAACAACAACCGTTAAAGAGATCATTGACGCATCAAATTTCATTGAAAACCCAATTTTTTTTAGATTTTTCCTTTTCTTTTACCCCCATCTCTCTCTCTCTCGGTTGGGAGGAAAAAAGTGGTGAGGGGGTGGGTTCCTTCCTCTCCTACTTTCTGTGAGTGTATTCTTCATTACTAGTACTTCTTGCTCCAAGTTTTCCCTTGAAAAAGATTCACTTTGAAGAACTGTGATAATATAGTTGTTGTGCTATGTATGTTGCACAACTTCATTTGCTCTTAGCTTTGTGTGTAAATTATGAAAATCTTCACATGATGTAAAAAAGGAGGAGGGGGTTGGGGGATTGGGTAGGGGAGATGCCTTTGAGAAAGGTTTTGCTGCTGATCAGAAGGAATCCATGCCAATTTATTTGGTGTAGTTCCCAATTGGGATAATTTCTGTTTACAGTTTGTTGATTATGGATCTTTTGATTTGTTTCCATTGATGATACTGGTTCTGATTTTGTTTCCATCAATAATGAGCTCTTGATGTGATTCTTTTCTGCTTCTAGACATGATGGATGGATGCAATTGATGCACATAGTTCTCAGTTCTCACAGAAAAGACTGTTTCATCTCGATTCATTATGGCATCAATTCTTTTGTGTTTGGATTTCTTGATGGCTTGATTGGTTTTCATGGTTTTTCTTTTTTATTCAGCTTGGTGAAAGCGACTAATTTGATCAATAAATTTTTTGGCTAAACCAAAAATGACTCTAAAATTCAAGGCTTCAAATCAATTATTGTTGACTGTCGCTGGAATTTTGAGTGCTAGAATTCAAGTTATAATTACTTCAAATCAGTGATTGTTTACTGTCACTGGGATTTTGAGTGCTAAACTTTTTTGCTGCTTATATGTGAGTTGATTTTTTCTCCATCTGCATGCGAGTTGAATATTAGAATTTCAGATAACAATCTCGCCTATCCATCATTATAACCATGACCAAATTCTAAAATTTTTGTGTGTCCGTGCTTGTGAAGAATAGTTACCTGCATTTCCAGCTTGGTTTGGATTCTTATGAAATTACTTTTTTCAATACCTACATGGTTAGTTTACTTAAACTTGCATACTGTACAATGGATTTCGAATGTTATGAGCGTAACATTGTGTGTGCATGTGTTACATAACTACGTCTTAATGTCTACTTATTGAGTCCTCATGTTGAGTACCCTTTTCACAATTGGTTTTAATATTTTCCCGAAACAAAATAAAAAGCATTTTCTGCTGCTGCAAGTAAAAGTATCATTATCCTGGAAGGAAAAAAAAAAGAATTAAAAAAAAAAGAGGTCCATCAAAATCCAGAAGTCATGTTGCAGCTCCAACCTTAGCCATGACAGTTTGCTTCTGAAACAATGAAAACAAAAACATATTCTAGCATCTCCACAAGGTCCTGCCAGGATATCAGGGGATTCTTCCTGCAACTATTACCAATTAGGAATGGACAAGAAATCATGCCAGCAATCATTCATTAACTTGGGAAACAATTACATTCCCTATCATTATATAATGCTAGAAGTAGTAATTTGAATGATTTATTTATTTATTTATTATTTGAAGGTAAATGTAATTTGAACCAACTTGCTTTCTGGTGACCGTTCTAAAGCTAGTTTATCATTATTTATGATTTAACTATGTTATTTTCCTGTAGGACGCCATCTTGACGACACATGGGTAGCACACATAGGTAATGACGTTAAGAGGATATTGAAGTGGCAGAAGATTAATTCAGGTGTTCCAAGTGGGCGATTTGGGCACTCATGTGTTGTAATTGGTGATGCTCTTGTCCTCTTTGGAGGGATCAATGATCACGGAATTCGCCAAAATGATGCATGGGTAGGGCAAGTAGCATTCCATGAGACCTTTGGCATCACATTCTCCTGGAGGCTGCTGGATGTGGGTTCAATTGCTCCTCCACCCCGTGGGGCCCATGCTGGATGCTGCATTGATAACAGGAGGATGCTTATTCATGGAGGTATTGGATTGTCTGGGGTCAGACTAGACGACACGTGGATTTTAGATCTCTCGGAAAATCTTTGTTCCGGAACTTGGTGTGAAATTACGACTCATCCATCACCTTCAGCTCGTTCGGGACACACGTTGACTTACATTGGTGGGAACCAAACGGTTTTGTTTGGAGGCAGGGGATTGGGATACGAGGTGCTTAATGATGTCTGGCTCTTTGATTCATCTGAAGGTCACTTAAGATGGGTACAGTTACTATTTGAATTACGAAATGTACCTGAAGGACTTTCCCTCCCACGAGTTGGTCACTCAGCTACACTTATCTTAGGAGGTCGACTGCTGATTTATGGAGGGGAAGATACATACAGGCACAGGAAAAATGACTTTTGGGTGTTGGATATCAATTCAAAGGGCTTATTAACAAATATGTGGAGAAGGTTAAAGTCCAAGGGTTATAGACCTAACTGCAGGTCATTTCATCGAGCTTGTGCAGATAATTCTGGGCGTTACTTGTACGTGTTTGGTGGAATGATAGATGGATCAACTCAGCCGGCTGAAGCATTTGGGCTGACGTTTGATGGGGAGCTTTTCCTTGCGGAGCTTGTGCTTCAGCTCTAGCGGGGAATATAATTTTGGAGCGCTAAGGCTATCTTATTATGTAATCTTGTAAAAAGTAGCTCTCTCATGTAGCTCACTGGCTGATGCTTTATGTAGAATGAGGTTGTAAAAAATAAGTAGCTTTTTATGACTTGTCCAGTCTTCATTGTGAAGCGATATCTTCTAGAGGGAAAGCAGGGGTGAGGTTTGGCAACAAATATCATCGTTATGCTACAATGAATCTAAACTCCTGTGACCAATTTTTGATGAACAAGCTATATGCATTTGTGCTTGAACTAGAACCCCTGTTCATTTCATTGAACAAGTTCATTGGCAAAGTTGAAGCTAAGCATTGGTGTTCCATGTCCACCATTAAGCCACCAGCAGAGGTTCTTCGTGACAGACAGACGTCGAAATTGAAGACGAATGCAATACCAACTTAGGTAAGATACTGCCTCATGCAACCTTGTTGGAAAAATCTGGTTTGATGGAGCAATATGGGAACAGTTGTTTGTTATGCATTCCTCTTAAGTCTCTTCTCTTAGAGAGAAACTAGGATGTGTTCCCTATAACATTGATTGATATTGAAGCCTTGGCTCTGTTACTTGTTCTGGAACATGCCTTGTTCTTGACTCTCTTATTCGGCCTGTAACTTCGTCTACAGCTTAAACATGACAATCTTTGTCATGGACTGAGTTTTGAATTGGTATTTTGAAGTGTGGAAGTTGATTGGCCGATCTTCATGCATCTCTGGGAGTTATGAACTACTTGTCAATCCATACAGAAAAACATGTAAAAAAATGTATATTATATATAAAAAAAATATCTGCTTTATGTTATTTGTGCCATTGTTACCATTTACCATTTACCATTCTAGTGCTTAGCAGTTTTTTCCTTTTGCCCTTTTTTTTTTTATGCTTGGCTTGGTAGGAGGGAAGGAGGGAAGAGAAGAGGGATTGAACAAGCCTACATTATTTAGAAGTAGGGAGAGTTGGATGGAAGGGAAGGATGGAGGAATGAGTCATTCATCTTGGCCCACCATTTTTCTTCCATCCAAAAGTGTGAGGAAGATGAGAGAAAAATAAAATTTTGTTAGATAAAATAGAAAAGAAAACCGGACTCTCTTTTTAATGTGTTAATTTATACATTTAAAGATATATTACAAACATTACAAGAAAGTATTCAATACCCCCGGAAATATAGTACGGTCAGTACCCAACCAATGTTAATTTGAGAGGATATATTTAACCACTAATCGTGTTTGGTTGATTAATAAAGGAAAATTTTTTTTTTATAGATTTTATCTTTTATTAAAAAAAGAAGAAGGGCAATCACTAAAAAAAAAAAACTTTCTTTTCTTTCCTTTCCTTCCATTTTCTCCCATTTTTGGAAAGGTAACAAAACCAGCAAATTCTATATAATTTGTTTCCTTCCAAATCCCTCCATTTCCTTTCTTTTCCTCTAAAAACTCATACCAAACACAATATTTGATTTCCTTCCATTACCTTTCTTTTCTTTTCCGCCCAATACCCTCCAAATGCGGTGTTTTTATTAGCCGAGAGACTACATAACCGTTACCCGGAGTATTGAATATTTTTTCCAACATCACTCACAAAGTGTTTGCCAAAAGGGTGGGTAGAACAGGAAATCAGTTCCTTCATTCAATAGTCCATGCTCAAAAACTAAAATCAATTCAAGTAGAAAGTCAAATTTTAATACAAGAAATTAAATAAATACTCTTTTGCAAGGACCATTGCGAGCTTGTCCAAAAACTTGAGTCTAAGTGTAAGAACATGAAATCCAAATCTGATGACTATCATAATGACATTGTCAAATGCTCTTATGTGACAGTCTGCATTTGAAAAGACCCAAAACTCAGTTCTAAATCAAACACAATACTCAATCGCCATTTTTTTTTCCCCACTTTTTACACAATCATAATCTGTTCAAACCACATGTAAATATCCCCACTGCACAATATCAACCCATTCCTTACAAAACCTTTCAAGCTATAAGAATAATTAAAAAAAAAAAACCCTAATAACTATTTACAGAAGTAAATATGAAACACATTAATTGCCACCCATCATTGCCATTACCACCAGCAGCAGCATCCAGAAAAGGAGATAGCTAAGTAATTTTCAAAAAACAGTTCCTAAAAGGGTTGATGATGCACACGCATGCTATTACACTGGTATGACATCAATCTTTGATGCATCCTCACATCTCAAAACAATACCCTCAAGGCTAGCAGGAAGGATTAATTTAGCCCACTGGCATCCTGCGGTAAATGGCTCTGATGGAGGGACAATCATAAGCACATTTTCATTCCTTTGGACGACTCCCATTACACTAACCGTGCTTCCTTCTTTGATGTACCTACCAAAACACAAACATACAAGGTTTTTCAAACATCTCCATGGGTATAACACCAAGCCAAAGCTTTTCTGACAAGATACAAAAAATAAAGAGCAAAAAGAAAAAAAGAAAAAGAAAAAAGTTTTTCTTTCCATCCTGCAATTATGGTATTGTGCTATAAACTATGTACTGCATACTTGAAATGCTTCAGGGCCATGATCCCACCTTTAGAACCACATGAAACATTTGAATTTACAACACAATGATTTATGACAAACCCTTGAAAGCATGATTGTTGGTTTAATACTTCAGGTGACTTAGAAATGCACCACGTACGAAGATTAAGTTTACTAATCAATTAAATTGAGAATTTACCCTTCTTTCAGTTGCATCACACGGTCATCACTGGAAAGGTTCCTCTCTCCCAACCACCTGATAAATTCTGGAGCTAAATCTTTATTCAAAGGGTTGACATCAACAACAACAGATTCGTCCACATAAGGAGTCACCCTTGCGCCATATCCTGTCTTAACCAATGCTCTCAATCCAGACTGGAAATCAGAGATGTAGAAATCAACTGCATGACTCTGCCAAAAAAACATAAACAATTCTAGTCAAAATGATGAAATTTCAGCAGTCTGGCAAAAAGATGACACGCGGGCAGGAAGTTCTAAAGGTGCTCGACCACAAAGTTGTAGATGCCTTGAACGTGATAATCGTTCAAGAGGTAGTCATCTATAGCTATTTATGCTCAACCGCCTGTGACTGAGGCATTACATTTATGACATTAGCCCCTGAACCTTCGACTACATAATGAATGCTTCATTATTTATACACTACAAAATACATAATTATGCCAACAAACTAAAAGATTTGACAAAATTTTTATCGAGATGATAATCAATAAATCAAAATATTAAACCAATATTTCAGCTACTCACTTCTGATGACCTAAGCCCCCATGTAAAACGACGATGCGTAGGGTTGGCAGCTTTTGAATCCCATCCTCGATACTCGTACAAGCTTGTAGATGTATAGACACATCTAGGAATTTTTTGGAAGGATGACTCAAGGGGTACATTTCCACATGTCACCACCTTCAAAAAAATATAACCAACCAAACTGAAAAGTTGCACTAGATGTCAATTAAGCACATGTAAGCAGGTAAAATTAATAAATTAAAATACACTGATTGTACTGAGTGATAAGACCAATTCAGTACCATTAAGTTATAACATTCAACCAATCTAGTAAATACTCATTGATTCATAGTTAGAAACTTAAGATGCAAGATATTCTCATAGATGCTCTACATACATCATATACTGACATCAAAATGTTTCATCACCATGGTCGCAGGCACAAGGTAATGAGTGGGGTCGAGTTACCCCACAAAAATGCTGAAATTTATTTTAAAGTTTTACCCAACTGAATTCATCAGCAGTTATATGGTCAATCTAAAAGTGAGAATAGTGACCCAATAGCCTGATATGTAGAGTGCGTAATATAGATCTAGAGGGGAGTGAATAGATTTTGTTCAATTTTAACTAAAATAACTGATTTTTCAATTATCACAATTATACTTAAAACATAGCAATATCAGTTGTTATATAGAGAACAAAAATAAATAATCATGCAATTCCACAAAAATAAGTGATTTTACATTAAAAACCCCAACAGAGAAAAATCACGAGACATAATCCAAGAAGATTAAAATCCACTATACCAGAAAAAGATTACAACTAAGTTACCAGATCTCACCCTAGAATCACCTAATTCCTCCCGAGATCCTTCCAGCAGCTGATCCATCGACATACTCACTCCTCACACAAATATGCTTCCCAAAGGACTTCTAATCTCCAACGATTAGTAATGTCCAGTTATTGTTTGTTTGTGTGATTCGGTTTTGATGACGATTTAAGCTCCACAAGTTGACGATAAGCACTCATAGTTCAACATCTAATACAACATGCTAGATGAAACAAAGAAAGATGTGCACTCTATGTGCCTAGATGCTCTCCATAAAAGCAAGAATATCTGATCTCTTTGTATGCTCTATCAATAAAATGCAGAGAGGTCTCTGTATCTATGTACATTTGTTATGAGAGCCTAGAGGTGTTTATATATTGCTTTGAGTCCAAAAGGAATGCTTGTTTCTTAGTTTTAATTAGAATAGGAAACCTATAGCTTTAGATCTGATTTGAAAGAGATTTCATACTAGTTCGCGCATAGGTCGATCAATCAAGCCTTCGATCAAGTAACTCTGGCTATGCGCCAATCGATGAAACTTTCAATCGAAGCTCTCTGATGTGGTCTTGATCAATTGAGCCATCCTATACTCGTTCCTTCGGGATTTTTTTAAATGATCACATTCTAAAAACAATTCCATGCTTCAAGACATCTTTTTAATGAATCAAACCAGGTATGCATTGTGTCCTAAAATAAGAATGCATGATTGCGAATCCTAATTGGCGAGTTCCTTATTTAAAACCTTCAAAATCTGATTGTGCCCTTGGACATAGGGGTACCTCTTCTTGGGCTTCTTCATGAGCCTCTCCTTCACTTCTCTCAAATTGTCGGTGGGTTTGCTCTCTCTCCTCTTGTTTCTCAGCTGTTCTCTAGCTGTTATGGATTTGCCATTGACAGAATCAGAGAGTTGCAGAGATTGGAGTGCAGTGACCGAGAGATAGGTAGAGGAGGAGGAGATGGTAGAGAGAGAAAATGGAGGAGGTGAGGACTATTCGATCTTTAAGTCACCGATCACAACCAAAATTCAAACAAAACCAAAACCCTAACACCAACACGGATCAAAACACTCGAATAATCGCAAAAACCCAACACGATTTGATGGTAACTACGAATAAGGATTGAATTAAAAGCATAATCGAAGCACTAGAATGATATAATAGTCAGTTGGGGATTCGAATTTGTTACCAAATGGAGTGAAATCTACATCGATCGAAACAGGAAAAGATGGATTCGAATGTAAGGACATGGAAATTTAGCATTTTTGGTGATTATTTGCAAAGAAATGGACACTCCGTAAATGGGATTCTCAGTATCTACCTTGAATAAGGTTGGGAAAATCAACGGAATAGAGTCAAATTCATTCTCTCTCTCTCTCTTTTTTTTTTCCTTTTCCCAATTTTGTCAGCTACCAAACAGACCATCAACATTTTTATGATTGTTGATGCGTGTTCATGGGTTCTTGTCTCTTTTGTTTTAGTCAATGATCCTACTATTTTTTTGTTTACCAAACATGTTTTTCTTTTCTACTGTCAAAAATGCAATAGCAGATGTACGTAACCAAAAATGTTTTGCTTTTGATAGAAATGACAGCACAACAAATCACAGCTTTTGCTTTTCCCAAAAATGAAAGTACAACTCAAAAAAAAAAAAAAACACCCCAGCATTACCAAGCCCTTAGTAGCTACTTTTTTAAAAAATCCGAAAGTTAGTCTTATAATCAGTATGCCCTGACAGACCCTCAATTATTGGAAAAAGGCACAGGCTAATAGCAATTTTCAACTAAATCATTATTAAGAGAGGACAAACTACAAGATGAAAAGTAAGAACTACTAGTTCATTTTCATAATTAGAAAAGTACGTACCCCAGAAACCTTCACATATTGCCCATCTTTTGCTGTTCTAAGCTCGGCATCCGGATAATGAGCAATAAAACCTATGATAGCTCTTCTTCCCCAAAAAGTATTCCAAGTGAATAATGCAGCAAGAATGCCAAATAGAACCACAACAACAATGAGGAGAATAGCATTGTGGACTGCCCCAAGAATGAAACCACCAGCAATGAACCCCATCACAAATAGCAGAATCATTGACCACAAGATTGGCTTTGGTAAGTTCCTCTTAAAGGAAAAATCATCATCCTGGTTGAGAGATGTGACAGCCTGGTTGTGTGTAACAGAGGATCCATGTAGTTTCACAGACCCCATTGAATCCAAAGGACCAGAAACTTTCCGTGGAGCCCCCGAGGAATTTAATGGGCCAGAAGAGATGGGACCAGATGTAATGAGACCTGTTGCAGGGAGAACTGGTGGTAGAGGGCCTGAGTTTTGGCGGGTAATTGGTGTCACTCCACCCGATTGAGGGCCAGATGACTTCTTTATTGGTTCCCCATGTTTATTCAGCGGACCGGAATTTGACTTCTTTACTGAAGCTGAACCAGGAATCCCAGCAGATGATACAGGACCTGATGTGGAATAGCTAGCTCTAACTGCAGCATTAGCCATGATTGGTCCTGAATGCGAGGCTGAACCTGCAAAAGATCCAGTCCTCGAAGGGGCATTGGGTATAGGTCCAGATTTCCTCGACTTTGAGCCATCTACAGGGATATCGAACATTTTCCCAAGCTCTCCCGACCTCTTGATATCTCCACCAGTGTAAGGCACGGCTGTTGAGCTCATGGTTGGAGTCCTTTCTTTTGGCTGTTCAGGCCGGCCTGATACATAAAGACCATTGCTAAGCTGATGAGATGGGAATCTGGAACCCATCAGGCTTCTCTGTGGTGTCACACAAGAGAGAACACAATAAATTCCGCACGCGGTATGTTCTGGAACTTAAAGCCCTATAAAGAGTGAAAAAATGTACTCAGTCAAATAAAAAATTCAGAACATCAAACTTTAGTAAGGTTCAAACTTAGTTGCATATCAAGTACCAACCATCTGAATATATAAAAGAATTGATGGATTTGCTAATTATCTTCATACTTAATGAATTGATAAATTCCATTTCTCGCCAGAGAGAAAAGCCGACTTCAAATTCAGATAGATTTAATTGAAAAATGAGAATTTGAGAAGGGAGTATACATTTACATCTGTAACTTAAGAACCATTCCAAAGTTCAATTGAAGTTTGATTTTATACTAAGTTTGTGATATCCAATAAAATGACTGATAAAACTAAAAAAAAAATTGATAATTAACATTTTGAACCAATATCTAGCACGGTACAGAAGCAGCTGATCATCAAGATAACTAGATAAACAAAATAGAGTGAAATATTCTAGAGAAGACATCAAGATCATAAACATCATATTACATTGAGAATCAGTAATTTATAAGGCATAGATTCCAAGTCTATATAATCCCAGATCTTGGGTGGAAACCAAACTCAACCCCACTTGGACCCAAAAAAAAAAACTTCAGAAATACTAGGTAACTAACTGCTAAGATTCGTAGATACAGAATATTCCGACTTCAGAGCATGGACAAAAATCAACAAACATGACCATAAACTCTAATAGCAACATATTTGGAAGTAACCCAAAAACCAGAAAAACAAAAATATTAGGTAGAATCCCATATTTTTAGATTCTTGGAACCATAAATCTTACTCCAGATTTCAAATCCCATTTGAAGCTTAAAACAAAGAAAAGCCGTACATAATAGATGCATTAGTAATATCTAAATCAGAGTAGTAGATCAGACACTTTTGTTAACCCTCAGACAGCAAATAGCCAAGCAGAACCAGCCAAACACTCCACTAGAAGAAAATTAGTTGACCCATCATTATCAACCCTTCCAGAATCCAAAAATCAAAACCGTCCCAGAACCAACTCAAAAAATTAAGAAATCAACCAGATTTCATCTCCCTTGTTGTGAAAAGATGGTATTTGGGAACTCCAATTTTCAGCTGACAGTTCACTGACTTTCACAACCCAAATCAAGGAAATTAAGCAATACCCATTTCAGTTTTTAGAACAAACAAATTGGGAGAAGTAACAAAAGATCGACGAGCGAAGAATTACTGACGAGGAAGAGAAGGGGTAATATGGGGAATACAAGAAATATTTGGCGTATACCTGAAGAAGAAGAAGAAAGTGGAGTCGAAATCGGCAGGAGATTTGGAGACATCATGTGTATATACGTATGTATGAGGCTCTGTTAGTTCAGATTCTGGTGCGATCTCATTGCTCTCTCTCTCCTCGGAAAGCCGCAACAACTACTGGCTTGTTTTTTCCGGCAATAACCTCCAAACACACCGAGGAAAAGATTATATATAAAAAAATATAATACGGAGTACTAATTTTATTTAGAAGGGAATTATTTAAGGATGTATTTTTCCAAAAATAATTATTTGGAGATAGAAAATTTTTAGAGAGATAGAGAGGACAAAAAAGGTGAAAACACACTTAAAACTTCCATCCATGTTCTGTATCTTCAGTTTTTGACTCTTGGGCTTATCCAGTAACAGACTTACAATCACAGTCTCGAGCTTTCGGAAAATCTCTAAGCCACCTCTCTTTTTGGATTAAATTACAAATTTATCCCTCTGAAGTCCAAATTCTAATTCCAATCAATTTCAGTTTTCTATAAATTCCATCTTCTTACCCAAAAAAAAAAAACTGCACTTATTTGGGTTGGGGTCCATTTGGTCTATTTTCTGTTAATATATATTTTTTATTTTTAAATTAATAAAAAGCAAAAGCAGTAAAAAAAAAAAAAAAAAAGGAAATTTGTCTGAAAGCTCCTTTTTGTACCTCTATGATTCTATTCCTCTCTAACCAGTTTATGTGCATTTTAATTATATATTGGAATTAAAAAATAAGCTTAAGAAATTATTTCTGGGCAAGTTCTTTGAAGTTCAGCTATACAAATGGAACCTGAGAATTGGATTGTTCAATGATTCAACCCTGATTGGGTGTGCATTGACTGGCAAAGAACGTGTAATTTTCTCTAAAATATGAATACCAATTATTAAAACAATGGGTAAATTACACTCACACTCTCTCAATTTTCAGTCAACGCTACTAAGAAGCGGTCAACACACAAGTTTACAGACCCCTAAGATTTCGAAAGGCATATTTACCCTCAGGTCTATAAATTGACAAAAATAACCCATCATATTATTTTGTAATTCCCTCTCCGCTATACACACCACCGTAACCACCGCCACACCAAACACGCCTCCAAACTCGTCCAACAAATCCCTTCTCAAACTCTCAACTACCACAGCCACACACACACCACCACAACCACCGGCATACCCGCAAACCACCGTCACAACCACCGCTATACAACCACAACCACAACCACCGACATACCCACACACCCCCGCCACAACCACACACCCTTTCTCGCTCTATAACAACAACACCATCACCGACACCGAAAACTTCACCGCTTCAAATCATTCTCGACGATAACACCGCACAACAAATCCAACCCAGTGACCTCCTTTGCCTTTGTCATGGGTACCCACTACAAAATCACTGGCAGCGAAGATGGTTAACCGCCCCAGTGAAGAGAAGAACGATGATGCAATGTTCGACGTCGAAACTGTTGCCATCGCCGAGCAGAACTTTGTTCACCGCTGCAATCGCCAATCATGTCGTCATTGAGCATAACCCACCACCACTAGCCACCGCTATCCTACCATTCCTATCTCTTTCGTCACAATTTGGCACCAATCCCTCTATTGGGTAAGAATTCTTGGGAGAATTAATTGAAAATAAAATCAAAATTAAAGCCCAATTTGAAAAAGGATGTTTTTGATGAAGAGGTTATGGTGGTAGTGGTGGTAAGATGTGGCGGCTGTTGTTGGGGTGGCGGTGGTAGGACGTTGAGAGGAGAGAGAGAAACCAAACATATCTAGCTAATTTTTGTAAAGTAATTACCATAGATGAACAATACCACCTGGCAAAAAAAAAAAAAAAACCAGAACACTAAGAAAAATAAGAAAGGTATGAAAAGTGCTTTTTACGAAACTATTTTCTGAGTCAATGCTGCCCCCACATTATGCCAAATCGAGTATCGAAACAGGGTACAGTACATAAAAAAAATAAAAAATCAAAGAAACCAATCAACAGTGATGGATGCTTATCCTTTATGTATGGAATCGACCACCCAACAAACTTGACTGAAGCTGCAGTTTACAGGGCAAAAATAACGACAACAAAACAGATTGTATGTCATAATAAAATCTTTAATACCAACAAATATAAGCTATGTCATATATAGTGTACCGCTCCCAGGAACCTCGACAAGCTGGGATCACAATAGACAATGATGCTGTCATCTTTAATACCATGACAAGACTATAACATGCATAAACCAACAAACCATGACAATATAGATATTACAGCAAGGTCAAAATGTTCTTCAAAATAAATAAATTTTTTCGCTGCCTAGAATCAATAGTACAAAAAAAATAGGGGTAGATGATGGCGTAATAAGTAGGATGAAACCCGGCGGGCCAAATAGAGACAAGGTAGTGAGCAGAGTCTTGGACGTTAAAAAAAGACACGGAAACAATATATTGTTAGAAATGTGTTTCAAAAAATTTATTTATTATGCATTAAAAATTTATATTTATTATGGGTTTGTTTTCTCTATTTGGCTTATTTAAATATAATAATTGGTGGGTCTATTTATGCATTTATATTTGTAACAGTCAAGAGTCATTAAAGGCTTCAAGCCATGAGTATCCTGTAAATAGACCGGGCTTGAAAGGTATTGAGATACCCCTATCATTCTTCTCTCCATGATCACTCTCTCATCTTTCTTTCTTCAGATATATTTCCATTGAATTTTTTCAACTTCATACTGTCCAGAATTCCAGCATCCTTCTGGACATGATTTTGGTGTTCTGAAATTATATTTCCTTATTATTCTTTGGGCTTCATTGAAACGAGTTCAAGTCTTCAATTTGAGTGCACGTTTTTGAAGGCTGCCATTATATCCTGGAGAATGATCGCTTGAGTACCATTTGCACCAAATGACGCGTGTCGTGAGCCACGTACTCCTAATGGGGGTGAGTTCACTTCTAAGGACAATGAGTTAAGCATCACGCCTTGGCTGATAAGTTTTTTTTTTTCTTCCTTACTTTATTTTAGTTTTTGCATTATTTTTCTCTTTGTTTAAGGTTCTGCCTTTTGACGGAACGCATTACAAAAGATGGTCCAAAAAAATACAATTTTTCGTACAACAAATTGAGGTTGCATATGCTTTGTTTAATGAAAGCGCTCCTGATACTGAACTTGAACCTGCAAGAACTACTTCAATAAGATTTTTTGAAAAGGATAACACTTCTTATCAAGGGTATATTTTGCATCACCTTTCAGATCAATTATTCGACATCTATTGCAAGTACAAAACTACAAGATAGATTTGGGAGGCTCTCAAAAACAAATACTCCACCAATGAGGTTGGAACATGAAGATATGCGGGAAACAAATTTCTTCATTTCAACATGGTGGATAACCTCTTTATTATAAAGCAAGTCCATCAATTTCAGACTATAGTTCAAGAAGTAGAGGCTGAAGGATTTGTCATCAATGAAGCCATGCAGGTCGATGCACTCATCGACAAACTACCACCCTCTTGGAAGGACTACAAAACTTATCTTAGACATAAAAAGAAGACATACACTATGGAAGAGTTGATTTTCCACATTCAAATTGAAGAAACAAGTTGTTTGGGAGAACAACCTATTCCAACCAAAGAGTCCTCTGTCAATGCCAATTTAATTGTTCAAAGGCCTTCAACAAGCAAGTTCTCATATGGCAAAGGTAGGAAAGGAAAAGAGGATCACAAAAACAAAGACAAAAAGAGTCGGTTTTTCAAGAAGAATGATAGAGTACAAAAGAAAATCAATGGGCCTTGCTACGTTTGTGGGAAGCCAGGTCACAGAGCTCATGAATGTTGGCATCGAAAGGACAAGAAGCTCAGCATACCAAGCTGTGATACCCCCAGATTTTCGGATACAGGTTGGCCAGGCCCACACCCGATTACTTGAGGATATCAAACCAATTAGTAATAAATGAACACAGAATACAATTAAGAAAACAGGAATAAATAAATTGCTGAAAAGAAACTAGAATGATAAATCAAAACTGAAAACCTCAGAATAAATTTTTTATAAATAAGGTATTAATCTGATACGTTCAACTTCTCCAATTCTAATACAACTCAGGAATCCATCTGGTGGACCCCTAATAAAACCAACACTGAGAAATGAACCACCGGAAAGGAATTCAATGCTAAATCATACAGGAACCGCCTACGTCTTCGGGAGAGTGAGTAGTCATCTCTGCTCAGCACGAACAAGCTCTAAGACCTGATACTGTCCGGTACCTGAAAAATAATAGTGGGTCAGGCCCACGAACAAGTTTTATCCTAATTACAATCCAAACAGAGACCCGATACGCAGATATATCCTAGATGTCTCAACCATATCTATATAGTCCGTAAATAGATATATACATATAACCACACTACAGGACTCTCATTAGGCTATGCTGAGGGTCTCAACCTGAATAGAAGGCAACATACAAAAACGCACCTGAATGGGCATGACTACCTAAGCCTAACAGGGTATACCTCAACCAAAATAGCTAGTTACGCATCCTACTGCATATACGCTCCCTAACCGTCGACTATAAGACTCAAGTTCAGATCGCGGTACCATAATTTATATATATAAATTCCCATCCAAACGAATGTGGTGTCGCTCAACAGTTCGTTGCCATGACACGATATAAAATTAGGATTTAAATGTTTTAATTAAATCCCTATCCATTCTACTAAGAGAAAATATAAACAACCATCCAATATGTCGTTCAACTGTTTTAGTTGACAGGACATGAAACCATGTAGGATTTATCTATTTTAGTTAATCCATTCCGTATGTATGAATGGGTTGGAATTAGCGTTTTGATCTAATCCGTCATTCCGTATACCACCGTCCCATACCGGTACATCCCATATATATGATCC